TTTTTGTTTTCATTTTGGAATTTAAATAAGAAGCAGAATATAATAGTAAACATAAACTAGAACAGCTCTTCTGAATCTTTACTAATGTATCTTTAAAGTTAAGTACTTAAAATGCAGAGTATATGTAAATAGGTGTTTTTACCTTACCTGATAACATGTCTGCATTAAGTTTTACTTTATCAATATTTTACAAAAGGTTTTTCGCCAAGCAAGAGCAAATACTCCAGCAATAATATTCCTAGATGAGATTGATTCTATCTTGGGAGCTCGGTCACACTGCAAAACTGGCCATGGTGTCTCAGAGCGGGTTCTTTCTGTTCTTCTCAATGAGTTGGATGGTATTGGGCTGAAAGTCACAGAAAGAAGAGGAAGCAAACTACAGCTTGAGGGTCAATGTCAAGAACAATATGATGAGGAAAGAAAGGTATTTGTTTCTTTTCCATATAGGAAGCATGATAAATGCTGTCCAGTTGCTCCAAAAATTTTAGCTGTTGCCATTCACACTTAAAAAACTTAAAATCTTCAAGCTTTAAAATATGCAAGATGCTCTTCTACTCTGTCATAATTTCTAGTTTTTAGAAAATATCATATATAGGCTGCTGTTTTTACATGCAGTGCTCCTCAATGAGACTTAATTTGTTTGGACAAAATGCCCACTCAGGCTAATGAGAATTACTAGTTGGTGTTCATTTTCTGTCACAAAAATCCTCTTGCTTGACACAAAGGTATTTTTTTAGACTTGGTGCTTTTTTTACTATTATAAGTTCCTTCATAAACTTACTTTTTGTAAGCATTTCCCATGCTTCATTTGCAGTGCTTTCTTGTACATACTTTCTACAAAACCACTACAGTTATGATCAGATACTTGTTTAAACAGAAAGCTGCAGCTGGACTTCTCAGTGAATTGTTCACACCATTTAATATTTAGCTTCTCTGTAGTTAAATTTCTGTCTTCATATTATGATACTCTCTGGGGGAAAATTGAAGAAAACAGTTTCAGAATTGTAGGATACTGAATTTTTGCATATAAAATGTCTTTGTTACAATCCAGCCAAAGAAAAGTGTGTACTTATTGTCAAGGCAGATACTAACTATATTTCTTTCTTGTCATCTAATCTGACCTGCCTCAAGGCATTTTTTACCTCCACAGAAAAATATTAGTACTGAAAGGAAAATAACTACTTGTAAAGATACATCATCTTCTCACCCTTCCCCTTTTCCCATTAGTAGTTAACTAATATCTTTAGATGATATATATCTTAACCATGTTGCACTAATTTGTTTATATCATCTCTTAATCAGCTAGAGTTTCAGGAAATTTTGAACAAAGATTTCATGGTAGTTGCTGCAACAAATAGACCAGATATGTTGGATTCTGCCTTACTGCGTCCTGGAAGGCTAGACAAGGTGATCTATATTCCTCCTCCAGATCTGAAGGTGATGTATTACAAATCCATACATGGCTTTACATGGAGAGATACTAATTGCCAGCATACTTTAAAAGCAAAGGGGGCATATTCCTATAATGTATTTAACAATTGATGGATGATTCACTGAAGATCAGTCACCAAACTCAAGGAACAATGAATAAGTTAAAAAAGGAGTAACTACATTTGTAATTTAAACACTAGTAGCATTTTAATTGGTGTGTGTTGCTATCCTATTGCATATAGAAAATAGACAAAATCTGGAGCAATTCTATATTTACAGAATGAAGCTGCAGTTTAAGAAGTAATTAACAAGTTGTCTGTCCTTGCTTCAAATCATTCTTGTGCCCTGTTCTCAAGAGTAGTGTAGCTAATTGTCCTGAGCTTCTCAAAAAAAAGAGTTTACCCAAAAGAGACCAAATATGTACTCTTCAGTGTAAAATGCTATGTTTTCATTAACAAATGAGTAACTGTGAATAACAGACATTAGTATATGAGATAACCATAAGAGTTAAGTATTATCTCCATTAGTAGCATTTTATTCATGCTTCCACCAAAAACTTTTGGTTTTGGTACTCTTCGGGATTTTTAGTTCTAATTTCAAATTTGGTGCTGCTTTGGAGAGGGATTAATTATTGGCTTGTTTGTTTTCTTGTATAATATGCAACAATTTACAGGGAAGGCTTTCTATCTTGAAAATCTGCACAGAAAAAATTCCATTAGATACTGATGTGTCATTAGAAGATCTGGCAGTCCTAACAGAACTCTTCTCTGGAGCTGATATTGAAAATTTGTGCAAGGAGGTAAGAAATATTCATGGTTAATCTGTGAAATAAACTGTAAATTAAACCTTTCAGTGAATAGAGAGATAACTCATAGATGTTACCAAGCCATCTGTAATATGGATTCTTTCACAGTTTATAATGAAAATATAAAGAGAATGAGTAAAATGGAAGAATTGAACAAGGGTTAATTCTTTAGACAAAGCCTTTATTCTTACTGGGATTTTTTCTGTGATTATTTACTAGAAGTCAAGGAACTGTACTACCCTTTGTTTCACATGGCCCTTTCTAATCGAAGCTCACATCTAGATGAATGTGTACTGCAAGCAACTGCAGCATTTTTAGCTGAAATTAGCATGTACTGTCAAAGCTAGAGAGAAAAAAATTGAGAAGAGAAATCTGTAAGTATTTGAGATAAGTTGTATAAAACAAGACTAGGAAGAAAATCCAAATATATAAATCATCAAGGATATATTGTCTAATCCAGACAAAAAAGTGAATGAAGAAGTTGTACTAATCTTATTTTATATTTATCTGTTTTTAAATAACCATAAATTATACAGTGCTCTTTTCAGATGCTTTATCCAAAATAATGGTTCATGTAAAATGTTTTAGAATACTTGCAATAAATTCCTTGCAACTTAAAACAGAAGCACTTCAAGTTGTTTCTTTTTTTTTCTTTTTAAAGGCTGCTTTGTTGGCATTGCAAGAGAATGGACTTGAAGCAACTGCCGTAAAACACGAGCATTTTGTAAAATCATTGAAGACTGTAAAACCATCATTAAACGTAAAAGATTTGGAATTTTATGAAAAATTTTATCATCAAGAATTAGGCTCTTGAATCAAAAAGGAGTGATGTGGCATAGGTATTTTTAAATATATTACAAAGAGTTTGCAATGGCTTACATCTTTCTTGCTGTTTAATACTGTACTTACTGTAGTTTTCAGTGTATATGAAATACAGAAAAATTTCAGTTGTGAAAAATCTGTAATTTCAATAATGGAGAATAAATTAAAATCTTTTTTGCTTTGTCTAGGTTTCCATCTGATGAAATGAGTCATTGAGATACTTAGATAAAGCACTGTGGAACAGCTTAATGTTACTGTAGATTTCCTAGTTTTCAGTACAAACACTGACATAATAAGTATTTAATTTAAAATGTTTTGTGAAGTCTGCAAAGGATGGTGAATATTTAAGAAACAGAAAAGCTTTCAGAAGATTAAATAGGAGGAAGTTCCATACTATATGAAACATAAGGTGTTTTTATATGTGTGTATCTACAGACTTGCTTTCCTACAAGCAGATTCCAAAATACAGTGTCAGCGAAAAGTTGGTCAGCGCTTAATACCTTGTTGTGAGTTTGGGAGTCTGGGTTTTTTGGAATAATTTTAGATCAGTTACTGCTTACTGTACAAACATTTTGATTGAGTAAGCAGATACTAAGTGAGTCTGTAATCAATTCAAAGTATAATAATTTAGGGAGGGGCATTTGCTTTATAACAGTTTCTGTAGAATTCTTTTCCCACCCAACCATTCTTTGTCAATATGTTTTTGTAGGTCACCTATAATACACAGGTACATCAAAGGAAATTGTTACTACATGTATGTAAGTGTGCATTTTAACTTACCAGGACAGGAAGATTTTTAATGATTTTTTTCCTTTTACCCATGAAAATGCTTGTCAATTAAATACTTCACTGTCAAAAATAGTTTATTATTTCAGCTGAGGTTCTTAAGTTATAAACCCATTAACAGATATTTTTTTTCCCATAGCGGGCTCTAGGGACTGCATTGCGGTGGGGTTTACAGTGAGATGGATCATGAAAGGAAGTTCCAAGGCAGTTAGTGACCGCAGAGGGCAAAGGGGAGTAGTGGAAGCTGTTGTAACTACTTAGGAAGGGGTTCCGATATAAACGACTGTCCTACAGCTTGGTGGCTTTGATCACCATTTCCTAAGGAAGGACCCTTCTCCTGCTTTATCACTGGCAACAAGTAGGCCAGTGCCAGTGAACTTCCCAAAGGTTTCTCAGCAGCAGTGCTGGAGATAAAGCATGAAAACCTTCAACATCACCCTGCATTGCTTTCCAGTGTTTGAGAGTGTTGCCTTACAACTGCCAGACCTGAAAGCTGTTAAGACAGCAAAATGCTGTCAGCTGCTTTGTTTCAAAGATGCTGCTGCTTACCTTCTGTATGTGCTCCCCAGAAGGACCATCAGAGCTAATTGTGCCCTGTTGTGTCTCCTCCTTGCTACAGAGCCCCAGCAGAGCACCCAGTAAAGGCAACCTCTCCTTCTGCTTAGTGCTTTCCAGTGGGCAAGAGAGAAAGGGAGAAACACATTTACAGGAGTCTGCTGGCACCACTCACCTCCAGCCTGCCTTCAGTAGGAGTTTTTCTCAGACAGGGGTATTGGGAAGTGATGGGAGCTGTGTAACACAGTAGAGTGATGGGAACCTGGGTCTTTTGTTACAGCAAAAGGGGACTGAGTGAGGTCGAGCTCCCGTTTGGGTCACTATATGCACCGGACGAGCACTGAAAAGAGGCAGGCTAGGGCCTGGCCTGTGCACGGGCCTAGATTCGCTGTCCTTGCGGCAACTGCCGCGGGCAGGGGACAAACAGGAGAGCGAAGGCGGGGTGGCGGAGGAAGGTGTGAGTGCGGCGGGGCGGGGGCAGCAGCGGGCGGCGCACACACCGGCCGCTGGGCGGCGCTGCTGGCCCGCGGGCGGCTCCCCGCGCCGGCCGCTGGGGGGCGCCCTGCCGGCCGCCTGCCCGCGCGGGGCGCTGCGCGGAGGGCGGGCGTCCCGCCTACGTGAGTTGGGGCACAGCCGGCGTTTAGGGGCGTTGCTGGGCGTATATAACGCGGGGAGCGCGGCGCTGGGGCCCCTGGGCAGCGCTGCCGGTCCTTCTCCGCTCTGACAGGTAACGGAGCCGGCGTGCCCTCGGGGGGCGGCGGCCGAGCCCCGGGTCCTGCAGCCGGGGGGGGGTCCCAGCCCGCGGTGCGGTAACAGGGATCCCTTTGTTCCAGGTGCGCAGCAGCAGCGAAGATGAACGCGAGCTTCTTCCAGATCCTAAAAGCAAAAAAAGAAGTAAGTTTGTTAAGAGACGTTGGCTCTGGGATAACTCACCCCCTCGCCCCGGCGAGGGGATGCCGGCTGCCCAAGTAGGTGCGCAGGGGTTGTCAGTTCATAACGAGCCCCTGAGGGAGGAAACCTCGATAGCCAGGGACGTGTGTGAGTTGAAATCCACGCACTGAGGGTGAGGTGGTGTGAATAGTAACACAGAGTTAATACGCCTCAACGGGTACTCACACCTTAGCTCCTTGCAACCCTCCTTGCCCTCTTCGTGGCTCTGTAGCCAGGACACTTGTTCTTCAACCCTCTTCTCCATTTTATGTCTTTCAGCTCATTCCCCTGGTTGGAGTAGTGACCTTTGCAGCAGTCGGGGCTCTCTCTTTTTCTGCCTATTCCCTAACCAAATCCGATGTGATGTAAGCAAAATACTTATTGCTTTGGATTTACCCTAACTTTTTGTGTTCAGCAGAGGTATTTGACCATCATGTTTTGCAACAACAAAAAAAAATATCTGGATGTTCGTGACTACTAGTAATGACTAAGGTATCTGCAGACCGTAAAGACTGTAGAAATTAATTAATTTGGAGTGTAATCCAAATTATTTCCTGACTTTTGATTTATTAATTATATTTTTTCTTTGCTTTAGGTGTAATAGGCTTTAGATGTTCTTATGAAGAATTTCAAATAATCAGATAGGTAGATGACACGCAGATATGTTGCAACCAGGCTATTGATTTGTATATAAAGAGTAGCATTTGATAATATGAACTTACAATAAGTTAATATTTTAATGGCTTGGCTAATAATTGAAGCTAAGTCTTATACATTTTAAGTTTCTGGGATTTTTTTATATTTACCTTGAAGTGATTGAAATAGGCATTTTAGCTGTCAGGGTAAGAATCACCTTAAATTTTTCTCTATGGCTTTATTCAGTTTTGATTTTCACCTTGCTTCCCCTACGGTAACACATTTTACTTGAACAATATTGGCTTGTTTGGTGCTTTGGAAGCTGCAAACAAAGCAAGCCATAATAGATTCCCACACAGAATTTAAAACGGCAATGCCCAAACCTGTAAACTTGTGTTTCAGGGAACTAGTTACTTGCATGAATAGTTCTACTGATAACAGACTGCTCATATAAGAAAAATGTATGCAAGATTACACCCTAAAACATAGTACCTGTTTTGTTTTATCTTCTCTTAAAGCATTAATAAGAGTGGCAATCCAGAACCATGGGAAACTGTTGATCCTAACAAGCCTCAAAAGGTAATTTGTACAAATAATATAGTCAATACAAATAGCATATATATACCCACACAAAGAATAACTTTAATATTTTGCTAGTTCTTACACATTTAAATAATGAGGAAACAAATGTAAAGATAATGTATATCTATTTAAAAGTAGAACTGCATAATTCATTACTTTACATAAAGTAACTTCCCTGTATTACTTAATGATAGGGATTCAGCTGTTGCATTCTAGGTCTGATCCTGAATTTATGGTGTACTTGTTGGTGTTTCTCTCTCTCCAACATTCATTTACTCAATTCTATTGATAACAGTGGAAATTTGGAGTATAGAGGAAATGCTGTTTACTCTTGCCATATTTCTGAATTACAGAATTGACTAAGAGTGTTTTTGAGTACTGCAGCCTGAAGGACAAAAATCTTAGTAGACCATCCAGGATAAGGAAAAATAAATATTTTGTCATTATTGTTTATTCAATAGCTAAGTGATTTTGTTCAACAAATTATTAAATATGTCATCAGTTGCTATTTTTGTTTACTTCTGAAAGGAAAATGTAAAGCTACTAGAAATCCTTCTTCACCAATAAGTTGATGTGTGATATTGGGGGGTGGGAGCAGAGTAAATGCTCACTGAGATTTTGCTAATTTCTTTCATATTTTCCTTTGAATTTCTTCCAGCTATTAACAATCCATCAGAAATGGAAACCTATAGAAGAGCTGGAAAATGTCAGAAAGCTTACGAAGTGACAAGTTTCTGTTGCCTCAAAAAGGTACCCTATGAATCTAGTGGAATCACTTCTGCACAAACTTGACTACTGAAATCAGTGTGCGGAAATGCTTCTGCTACATTTTTAGGGTCTCCCTACATTTTTTAGACTCTGGATGAGGAGTTTCATGTTGCTTTAGAAGTTGGCATACAACATCCCTATAGTCCAAAAATCTGTCTCAAATATTCATTTTCAGTAAGCATTTGATGTCAGATGTTGAATATTCAGATGGTAATTCTAGATGGAAAAAGCCTTAACACTTTTTATAGAATTTTTGTTTTCTCAGAATACATTTATTTTGTAATTTTATATATTTTTAATAAAATACATTTAAATTTTTTACAACATTCTATTTCAATTCCATAAATGAAGATTACCCAAAAGTCCTTCTAAATTGGGATTCCTGGTCTCTGTACTGTGTTTCAGTGCTGTGTACAGACCAAATAGTCATTACAGCCACAGGATGTCTTTGTATGGCAACATATGTGGTCATAAAGTATACTTGCATTTCTTTTCTGTGTTAGATGTGATGACAATCTGTCAAAACTAATGTTCTACTGCTGGTACTAAAACTTACACATGCGCTTACCCACTGAGGAGTCCAATAGTTTATTTAAGGCTACATTTGAAACTGCAGGATTAGAACATAAGAATTAAGCATGGCTAAAAGGGAATTGAACATTAGAGAATTTCTGTTGTATGTAAATATTGTTCGTGTTTAAATTCAGACAACGTTACTAGAGTTAGGAAACTTGCATTATCCAAAACTAATTACATAATGTTAATTTCTTCTTTTTGTGCAAGGTAGTTCATGTGCAAGCTCAAATATACTGCACAGTTAATATTTTTAAACATTTCTAGATACATGCTATTAGGGACATCTGCTTTAACAAAGAGAAAATAACAAATTAAAATTGGGAATGATTCTATGAAGAGATAGTTCCTCTTTAAGTGTCTATCTGTTTTCTAATGGGTTGGCCAAGGCAAGAATGTAATGGGCAGACCCCCAGTAAATTAATGAGTCAATGTATGCATCCAATGTTAGAACAGTCCTTTTGTAGGTATTTTTTGTATGTGTCCCCTTCCAAGCGGTTTCACAATATATTACAGTGTTTCTTTTACAACGGATGTTCAGAATGCATATTACTTTCTGTGAGGAAGAAAGCAAAAGTGAAACAACTGCTAATTGGAAAAAGTCCCCCTAAGTGAGTTATAGTGAAGTGCTTTAGGTTAGTCTGCTGAGCAAAGACAAAACTTTAGTAAAGCCGTCTCCTGAATATTAAGGTAGCTTTACTTCAGAAGCTTTGTTTTGTTTGGATTTGTTGATGCTGAGAAAAAAAGAATGCTATTTTATCCCATACTTGTGTGCAGATGCAACTTAAATGTTTATCAAGCGAGCATGACTCATCAGCATTTATGTTCAAGAGTGAGAGGAACTAGACTACGGAATACATTCTTAGCTTTCATTTTAAGGAATGACATTATGGGATGATTGGATAGCATACAGCCACAAAAACCCAGTGATCTGAGGAATACAAGTTTTAAGTATTTTAATAGAGAAATATTTTAAAATATTTTATGTAAGTTATTCTGTATTTCCATATTTTTACTGGACTGTATCAAACAAAGTGCTGTACTCTGAGTTGATGCATGAATTAAATGAGTTTGTTCTTCAGTAAATCACTTGTATGGTCTGTAAATACTATGATCTAAGTGTCAACATTAGAGAAATGTCATTTTTATGTAATTTTTGTACTTAATCACTTTTCAGTAGTGTCTTCCAGTAGTGCACTAAGCAGTGTGACTGCCATCAGTCACAGGTTAGTTATTCTCTCATCCTGTCCTGAAGCATAATAGCTAAGATAATACACTGTTTTGCTTTGTTAGCTGCTCTTTTTTTTTTAAATACAGATTTGTGGGGAGGGTTTTCACATACTGTGAGAAACCAAAATATTTTTTCTACACTTCAAAAAGATTTGAAGTACTGTTAAAGTTCTAGGGACAATTTTGTATGTTCTTAGACCGTCCCTAAAGATATTCTGTCTCCTGCACAGGTGAGGGTTTTTTTCTTTTAAGGAGAGCACACCAATATCTCCCCCCACAACTACTCAACGTAAATCTATAAAGCAATATACAGATTATTTCCTTGTTCAACAAAATACCAGAGTTAAGACAGTAGAGATTTAACTGGCTGAACTTCATGAGCTGACTTTTATGAGAACAGTAAGACTTTAATGTCCTGTGTTATTCAAACCCATGACTTGTTATTCCATGGACAACTTAGAGGCCATTGAAATAATTTAACAACTTTCTTCCTTCTCTCCATTTTGTACTCTCCATTTCATCTCCTCCATTCTGGTCTTGGTTTTGTTTCGTTTTTTTAAACAATCACCATATTTGCTCACCCTGTCTGTTACTTTTCCATGGAACAATATTACTTCCAACCTTCGTATTAATTACAAAGTTTAATTAAAATGCTCACTGGCTTGTAAGATTTTCAAATATAAATTATAAACCATTAGAAATGTTTTTTAATGGTTCTAATCACCACTAGAAATGCATCATTAGAATCTATGGTCATGCTTTTCTAACTGCGGGTGATTGTTAAGTAGTCTATTTGTAAATAGCTTTCTGGAAGAGTAGAAGGTTGCTTTCTGCAGAATACATGCAATAATTAATTATTGTTCTTTGTTATTATGATAGTACTTAAAGGCCTTAACAACAGATCTTCTATCGTGTTTACCCAAGAGCAGTGTGGTATTTTTCATTTGAATGTCTTTGCATATGATAGCCCCAGTGTTAGCATTTCTCTGTCTGATGTCCTCTACCCCCTGCGTTTCTCTACCCCAATATGCTATTAGTATAGTACTTTACTATCTAGTTACTTCATTGGCATGTGTTGTTTCTGTAGAAAATAGTAACTTAGAAGAGCTTGATGCAATCATTAAAGGAAATTATTCATCCTGTGGTTGTCATCTGTCTCGGTGCAAAGGGTTGTTGTCCCTAGCTGTAGAAAACAAACAGGAGTAATGGGAATGATTCACTGGATCTGGCTCATATTTGGTGTTGGACATTTCCCAAAAAAGCTTTCAGATTAAACAAACGTGGCCACTCTACTCAGCACAGTTTTAATTCACTGTCTGGAGTCCCTGCCATACGGGGAGCACACAAGATAATGCGATCACCTTAAAGTGTAACTGAAATGGAAGTAAAAAAGCGTTAATGAGGAAGTGGACTGGGGCACTGCAGTTGGACTAAGTAACTATTGACCTTCAGATGCTGATGTGACTAGAGTGCAGGCGGATTGTTTGCTGAAAGCTATCTGCCATCATAAACCAGCCATCCTGGCTAATGGCACCCTTCAAAGGAAGTCTGAAGAGTGCGCAGAGCAGGCACCCAGTCCAAAGAGCTGTTCCGTGGTGCCTCACCCCGGTCACAGATCACACACCTTTACAGCACACTTCATGGAGGCCGTACCAACCTTATTTGTGCTGTACCTTGACCAGATGACTAAAGGAGTTTGGTTTAATTAGCTTTTACTTGTAGATAACCTTGTTAGGTTTATGTTCTGACCGGAGCTGTTCATGGGGATGTAGTGTCCTGCAGGGCTCATGAGGGACATGCGGCCCCTCTAAGAGCCCTTCACACCACACGGAGAGCCGAGAGTGAAGAGCTGTCCCGCAGGCTTTACTCACCGCGCCCTCGGGTGTGTCTGGGCCCGTTCCCCGCCGCGGCCCCGCGGCTGTGAGGGACCCCCGGGCTGTGAGGAAGCCCGTTGCCGCTTCCCTCCGCGGCCTCTGACTGGAGGGGGCGCCGGGCCGCCCGCGGGGCCGGGGCCTTTCCTTAGCGCCTCACCGCCCTCTTCCCTCCCCCCCCCCCCCCCCCCCTCCTTTCACGTCCTGGGAGCCGAGCGGGTCAGAGCCTCGCCGGGCATCGCTGCCGGATCACCTGTGGGACCACCTAAAGCCTGTGAGCCTTCGGCAGCTCTGATTAGTGCAGCGGGGAGAAAGCCTCTCTTGCCAAAACACCAGGTACAAACAAAGGAAGCCTCCCACTCCGGGTTTGTGTCAGTGTCTGATATCCAGGTGTGTGCTTAGAGGAGTTGAGCTCCCTTGCAGTGGTAGTGTGCTGCCTAGATATTCATCAGTGTGTAAGGTAAAGGACTCGTCTGTGTGGCAAATGAGGGAGTTGTAAGAAAACTAACTCCGGTGTTAGGGGTTAGCAGAAGCTCTCATTGGTGTGCTTCTGTGTTAGCAAGCCAGAGTCCTAGAAATACTTCGTCTGGACTTCAGGATATAGGCCACATTATTGGCTGATGCTGCTGGAAAATTAATTATAAAAACCCCTTATATATTAGCAGTGAGGGCATTCATGAAAGGTTTGATTTGGTTTGGGTTTTCTCTTTATTTACAACTTCCAAGGTTTGGCCCAACGCGTTGCGCAGGGGTGGTGGGCTGTGGCCCTCCCGTGCCAGTGGTGCTGGGTGCTCCCTCATTGGCAGCAGGCTGCTGCCCGCCTGGCTGCCTGGCCGCGGGCTCTGGGGTACGGCACTTGGGTGTCCTGGCTTGTGTGCCCACAGCTCTGGCTCCTGATGAACCAGGGGTGACAGCAAGGCCTGCAGTCAAGGCCCATGTGGTGCTGGGCTTCCCGCCAGAGCTGGGCCACCACACTGGGCTTGCAGGAGTGCCCCCGTCCTGGGTGACAATACTGTTTCTGCTGCTCTGGGCCAAGATTTGACCGCGTGTAACATTCCCTAAACAGTGTTCTGTGTAAATAATTTAGACTTCATGATGCAGTATTTTTAAGAAAAGGCGAGTCATCTTTGTGACCTTATTTCTATAAGATTTAAAAAGTGCTTGTGCGCCTCTGTTAAAATTCAGACAAACGTGCTTCCAGTTTTACCAGCTGTCAAGCAGCAGAAAAATCAGTGTCTTTAACTTGAAACATTTGATCTGGACTATACCAGACTCTGGTATTACTCATTTTCTGTTTCTCACACCCTCCTCCCTATTTTCTACTGAGACTCCTTCCTTCTTTCTCTTGCTGACATATCTTTTCCTCTTGCCAAATCTCTGTCTTTCTGTCTTGCCCACCAAAACACATCAGAAAAACTTAAAATTTTCTTGACCTATTTTCTTTCTACTGTTACTGCTATTTATTAGTAAGCCTGTACTGTGTTTTAGAAAGTTACACATGTAAAATGAGATCAGAATATAATTAGGCTGATGGTTTAAACTCAGAAATTCAGAAAAAAGGCCCTACTTTTAATGTGTCTTCATTCTCCCTCCCCTGTTCTGCTTTGCTTTATTTATGCTGATGGTACTGTAATAAATGCACCATAGGGATGATTTTTTTTAAAAAAAAAAAAGAGGAGCCTTACTAATAACATTATGGATGTATAGTCTGTAAACATCTCAAGCAGAAGTCTGTAGATTTTCAGTATATGCATAAATAACAGTAAATGCTTAAGAATTGTCTTTCCATTTTGAAAAAAAAAAAAAAAGAAATATAAATTCAGGTCATATACATAAGCATGTATAAGTCATTCAATAGACTCACACAAAAACATTTGCAGTTTTTCTTTAAATTTGTTAAGATACGAGCATTAGGTTGGTAGGTAGGGTCCATTCCACTGAAAGCTATCTCTTAATTATGCTACTGCAGAAAAATGAAGGCCATGTCTGCTAATAATATTCTGGTCTGTTCCTTATGTACTTCTATCAAAATATCTCTTGCTTTGGGTAAGGGCTGAAATTTGATTCACCTGGTTGTTTCCTTACAAGAAAATGACAAAATAACATGTTTGTGTTCTGTAACTTCAAATTTAAAGTGGTCTGGCAGTTTTTGATCCCAAGCACTAACAATCATGGGGATTTCTGTAGCCTTGCAGGTGGTGATAGTGCTACTCCAGGCAACAGCTGTGAAAGAGCTTTTTTGTGTACGTGTATTTTCTTTTTCTTTTTGAGTAAATTGGAAAACATAATTTAAGTTCAAACTCACTTAGCCCTCACTTAGCCAGACTTTCTGACCACTGACCCCCAAGTATTGCTGAAGCAGAGGTAGGAGATGATAGCTCTTGAATTTGGGACTTTATCACAGCAATTGATTTTAAAAGCAGAATTCCCTGCTGAAGTGAGTGGGAATTCTGCACAGACACTATTGTTACCGAGTGGTGGAAAACAGACTCGGGAGGGAGAGTCTGTAGGATACAGCACCAAAAGCAGACTGTGGGGACCAGAGCTCTGCAGCAATCCAGTCCGCATTGCCTAAAGGAACATACATTAAGCCCTGCAGTCACAAGGCAGAGCTACCTGCCATCCCACTTCATGGGTACAGCAATTCTCTAGATCTCTGGTTTTCAAATCACTTTCTATAATTTTACTCTTTTGTATGGTATTTGGCATGAGACCAATCTGTTCTGGTAGACCAGAGGTGGACTGCTGATAACTGTGGGCTCAAGCGCTTCATCGGCCTTTAACACAGAACCGTATTTCATCTCCAGAAAGGGCTGATGCCTGTTGTGACGTGTAAGCAAGGAACGCCCACCTGCTCACCCACCAAGGTTGTTACATGATTTGTTAACAGCACAGTGTTTATGAAAAGCTAGAGTTCTTTGTCTTCTTGTTTCAGTATTGTAGAATATGTGACTTTTTTAATTGCAAAATTCATGTAGGGTCAAC